TTAGACGAAAATCACGACCTCAATTCCACTAACTAGCGTGGATTAATAATACTGTTCGTATATTATTTCTTTGAAATCATGAATCGATCAATGTTAGACCTCCATTAAAAACCTGGAAGCACTGGAGAGCCATTTTGGTCAGACTATGGGACTCTCATCGGCAGTACACATCCACGACTGCTGCTGCTGCACGTATGATTCGAGCCCGGGACCTCCGATCTTCCTCGCGAACGCTTAACCCCTCTCAATGCCCTGGATTGGTTGGAGTTAAACAATAAAACTGTTGGATTCTGTGGCTCAGTGGTCTGCGTGCGCAACCGAAGGTTCAGGGTTCAATTCCTGTGTGCTTGGGTCGTGGATGCGTGCTGCTGATGAGAGTTCCATAGTCGGACGAAACGGCCTTTCAATGCTTTTAATTTTCTAACGGAGGTCTAACATTGATCGACTCATGATTTTAATGAAACTTAACAATCCCCGCATTGTTATAATGAATATTCTATCTTCGTAAATAAGTATTTCATTTTTTTAAAAGTTTAATGCCAAAGACAAAGTTCAATTAGCATTTTGAGTGTAATACTTTTTTTTAACACATCTAAGATGTTTTAAAAGACTATTATTCCTTCTAGCTATGTGACTGAAAACAATTGAAAATGTCTTTATAAGTAGTAGCCTTAGTAGTAGTATTAGTAGTCTGTGGGTAACATTTATAGTCATGCGAGAAAATGGTAGATATGAATTGTTATAAACTAAATTCAAAATGACACTAGACTCTGATGTAAAGTATCGCCCTCATATATTCTGGTACAGCTGAGGGTGGAGAAATTCCGTTCTCCCTCTCTCAAAATGCTCTCATATGACCACGCGTAGATAGTCACTGACAGAGAAGACCTACTCACCACCGCCTTCCTTTGGCAAAAAGCGAATGACTGAACGGGGCTTAGGTCAGGTTTGTGGATACTGAGGATTCACCTAGGCGAGTTGGGAAACGCTGACTCCGAATCAGTGGTACAAATGAAATACAGTCTCCTCAAGGAAAAACATTTTGGTGTACTAACCTATTGCTGGTCATCAGTTACTAATGCATCTGCTGACGTCATCACCACTGCACACTGCCTTTTATGGATTAGACCTTTCTGTCAAAGCCTTGGGGGAAATGGACCTCTAAGGAAACCATCTTCTTCTGTTCGAACACCCAGCCCACATATATTCGAGGCCTTCCTATTCATTAGGATTGACTATGTGTGTATTTTTGTGTTTGTGCGTCTGTGTATACAAACAATACCATTGAATATGAAATGAAGTAAAACTGTTCAACGGAACATTGACAAAGGAATGATGATTCATTGACATTTATCAGTCTATTTAAATTCGACTGTGTTTGCAAATGACCGTACTACCATTGAAGGAGAAGTCTAACAAAATAGCAGTACAGCTTGTAGGATCCAAACTGAGGTTTGGTGGAGTGAGGAATAAGTGTTCAGGTAGTTTAGATGCGCGTCTTGCCCATTTTAAATCCAAAACAAGTGATCTGGGTAAATAACGGTTCTAATATTCATCATAAATATAAATTTACGTCATTAACTAAACAAATATTACCATTCAGTTATTTCACCAACAATTGTTTAGTTAATCAAATCAACAGCAACAAATAAATGTTATTCTATCCTTTCTGGATAGATCAGATTCGTTCGACAGATAATGTTTGGTCGCTTTATAACACAGAGTGTTTCTTATTCTGGAAGGCTGCATCAATTCACAATCAAAATGCACAATTTCAGTCAGTGTAGGAGTAGATTGGAAGAAAGTTAGGTGCAGCCTAACCAAAACATGGAAGAAATCCATGAAGTCACTGACAAGTGGACTGAGTCATGTTGGTAGATGTAGACTACCTGGTTGGGGTCCGCGAGATGATAGTCACCGATGGTTAGAGACCTTGAACGACATGACTCAGAATCGTTTGCAATGGCGCAGGTGCATCCACTCTTTTTGTTCTATGAAATTCTCAGCTTCTGCATTCCTCATAATCTCAATCTTTCTGCCTCTAAATTTATATTACTGAATTATACTTCTCGAATCATAACTTCACTCCCTAATCTTCCCCATTACTGCTAATACTTCTATGATTGCTATCGCTGTTGGATTTGAACTGACATCTGCGTCTCTGTGCTGATGGGGCATGACAACCTGAACTGATCTACTTACGTACGAAGTTCTGCGTTGTATCTGTCTGTCTGTCTATTCCAGTCAGTAGCAAGCAATCCAATCAAAAAACGAACAAATCAATATGGCTATCGCCATGTCACTAAGTATCAGCCTAAACAACATAAATGCAGTTCAAAAAGAAACATAGAAACTCAGTAAAGGCAACAGAAATCAGTCAGTCAGATGCAACGTAGAACTTCGTACGTAAGTACATCAGTTCATGTTGCCATACCACCACATCAGCACAGAGATGTAATTGTCAATTCAAATCCAATAGTAGAAGAGGTAGTAAGGGAATTAGAAGTAATCGGAGAGGTTACAATTAGAAGATACTATTCAAGAAATATGATTCAGTGAGAAGTTTAGAGAGTCGAAACTAGAGGTGTTGAAGAATCCAGAAGATTAGGATTTGAGAGAACACAGAGAATAAATGCACCGGCGCCATTGCGAACGATTTTGAGCCATGTTGTCATTCAAGGTCTCTAACCATCGATTATTATCATCTTGCTGACCCCAAACAGGTAGTCGACAGTTACCGACATGGCTAAGTCCACTCGTCAATGACTTCATGGATTTGTGCCATATTTTGCTTTGGCCGCCCCTAACTTTCTTCCAACCTATTCCTACACTACAAAACAAAGCTCGTGGAGGCACTCGGTGGTTGGGCATACGCAACACATGTCCCAACCTCCTCAACTGATGAAGTTTCACCACTTCATCTATTGATCTGCCATCCTTACCTAGTACTCGTTTCCTAACGACAGCATTGCTTACTCGGTTGTCCCACGGTATACGAGCAATGCTTCGAAGACACCTATGATCGAAAACCAGTAACCTACGAATATCTTCTACTCTCACTGGCCATGTTTCACAGCCATAAAGTAAGACGGAGCGAACTACTGCGCAGTACACTCGTCTTTTGGTCAGCAAACGGATATCTTGCCTACGCCATAAGTGACGCAGCTTGGCAAAAGCCAATCGAGCTTTCTGTATCCGTGCTGAGATTTCGTCAGTCACAGAAATAGAAACTATGATAAAATACAAATATTATCATCTCAAAATGGAATTGAACAGACTACGCAAAATGTTCAACTGAAGGAATCTCAATCAGAAGAAATTCCAAATGGAGGGATTTTCACAAACAAAGCCTTCAAAGAAATGGATCTTACACAGCCTTCTTCTCATTGATAAATTTAAATAGAAAGAGAGAGAGAGAGAGTTGTGTATACATACAACCTGAACGTAATCAGTATTGATTAGTAAAAATCAATAACGCATACATACATCATGCATGATATCAGAAGAAAAAAAACTGTTCTCATCTAATAATAAAGAAAGGATTATATACTACTTACTACTTACTACTAATCGATAATCAAATATGAAAGAATTCTAACCTGTGTTCAAATGATTGTGAATGGTTTTTTTTTTTCATTTTTTAAGATAAACAATGAATGATATGGAAACTCCAAAGTACAGTTAGATGATTGATAAGTGTCAAGGTTACGCAAATCATAACAACAAGGCGATTGTTACGTAACAATAATAACAACAGTAAAAGGATGAATCATAAGATTTGTCATCAGTTATAGAGTTATGGAGATTGTTGTTTAATTACTGAGTCAGTCAGTCAGCGCTACAACATAGAACTTCGTGTGTATGTGCATACACTTCACGGTAGCACAAAGATACAATTGTCAATTCAAATCCCCGATAATGTTAGAGGAAGTAGAAGTATGGGCAGTAATCGGAATGATCACGGTCCGAAGATAGTATTCAAGAAGTATAGAAAAATGAAGGTCATGATGAGGAACTCAGAAAATGAGAATCTGAGAGAAGACAAAGAGTGGATGCACCTGCACCATTTCAGACGATTTTAAGCCATGTCATTCGAGGTCTTTAACCATCGGTGACTTTCGTCGATACCTATTAACATGACTCAATCCAATTGTCAGTGACTTGATGGATTTGTGTTATGCTTTGGTTTGGCCACGGAACCCAACCAATCTCTGCACCACAAAACATCGCTCGTTGACGCAGTTGGTAGTTGGGCATTTGTAACACATGTCCCATCCACCTCAATTGATGAAGATTCACCACTTCAGCTATTGATCTGCCATCTTTACCTGTCATCCGTTTCCTAACAACTCCATTGCTTACTCGGTTCTCCCAGTATACACGAGCAATGCTTCAGAGACACCTGTGATCGAAAACTACTAACCTACTTAGTAAACTTCTCTGAATGGCCATGTTTCACACCTATTAGTAAGACAGATTAAACCGCTGCGAAGTAGACTTGTCCTTTGATTAGCAAACGTGTATATCTCGCCTACGCTATAAGTTTATTACTGAAATCATGACTCAATCATTGGTAGACTATCATTCGAGAAATCTAGCAGCATCGGATGGGTGACCGTTTCGTCTTGGTATGGGGGGCTGACTCATCAGTATCAGTTCACATCCATGACTCTTTCTACTCACAGAATCATAACATACTTAATTATATAATGAGCGAATATTAAGCATGCACATACAACCAAGGATAATGAGCAAATGAATTTTGACAAGGTTGAACAATGTGGAAATAATAACTTGAGCATTTATAGGGTTAAAATTATAGTTTGTCCAAAGGTTGAAACAAGCCCATGTGGACTCCACGTATTAGTACATGCACACGCACGCACTATAGTTTATATACAATTTCAAAGCATTTCATCGGTCATAGTAATAATTATCTGTGAAGACAAGTAGCACACATGTCACAATCTTGTTCTCTCTCTCTCTCTCATTTTTTTCAGGCTATCATTGATCGAATGTCTGAGGTACAAGAGGAGAATTGTATTCTTCGACGATGTAAAAAACGTTTAGAAGCAGATTTACTGGCTAAAAGTAAAGTTATCCAAAAACGATTAGATAATTATCTTCAATCGCCGGAAAAACAATCCACCACTTATCATGGTAACAATGTTGATAGTACCATTACTACTACTACTACTACGACTACTACCTCAGTACCGACACCAACGGTAACCTTCAATCCATATCGATCACATACACCACATACACCAACCACCACTAATCATCCTACTTCAGCATCCTCATCCAGCTTTCCTAACACAACAGCATGGTTTCCATTCTTACGAAATCTCACTGCTCAGTCGGATTCTTCGACACCGCCCACATCAACATCACTATCCAGTATCAATGTACAAACAGTGAATCGGTTGAAATTCATGTGTGAACAATTAATGACAGAGAATATTGAATTGAAAGAGAAATTACAACAGCATCAACAACAACAACAATCTTGTACCTGACTAACGGAGTGATGATGATCGATCAATTATCGATTAGTAGTGGTACATGTTTGTGTGTGTATATATATATATATATAACATGCTTCCTTGCTTGCTTGCTTGCCTGTCTTGTGTGTGTTGTGTGTGTCAAGTCCTCCAGCATGAATGACTGTGTACTTACTAGTCGTCTGTGTATAGATAGATAGACAGATAGATAGGAAAGGTGGTTTTTTTGTCCGACTGTGTTATATATAGAAGAGTTTGTATTCAATAATTTTTTTTACTAAAGAAACTTTCTTTTAATTTAAATTTAAATTTCATTCATTCCAAGACTTTTTTTTCCCCTCATTTTAAAATGATTTTTATGCTGTCTTGATGTGGAATTCGCCTTTTTTTCTGGGGCGTGTTCAGATCTCCGTTTATTCACTATTTATCAGTGATATTCCTATCATCGTCTATTTGAAAAGAACACAGATTTTTTATTGACTTATTATATCTGCTTTATTTCAAAAGGATATTTTTCTTTTCTCACTGTAAACTGATGTTGTCGGTTGATTTTTATGCTTTCAAGACTAGCAGCAGTACCCTGCCCCACTGCCGCCAAGTATGCGGATTTTTTTAGTTGTACAGAAAAAAAAATAAGAGTACAAGAATTCTCGGGATATGCACTACCTCCTGCTCTTTTTCACTTGGTTTGTTTCTATCGGAGATGATGATTATTACTTTGTGTGTGTTTGTCTCGGTGGTCTACACACGCACACACACACATGCACGCACGCACATTATGCACAAGTTTACTACATACGCACAAACACGAGTACACTTTTACACATACATACACACCTACGCACATGCACGCACATATATATATATACATATTTGTGTAAAACACCGGTATCTAGTTACATCATGTATGAGGAGTGTGTACAAAGAGTAGTGGTTAGAGATCAATCAGTCAGTCATTTTGTCCTTGCACTCACAACAGACCCTGTCTCTCTCTCTCAAAAAACAAGCATTGTGATCATACTTTTATTACTATTATTATTATTATTATGATTTAGTTTTCTTTATAACATGAAGAATTTTTTTGTTTCTTTTCAAGAAGAAAGTAGAGTAAACTATAGAAGAAGAAGAAAAAAATAATTGTTTCTTATTTCATTTGTAAATAAAATGAATTTGATGCTTGTTTGTGTGTGTGTGTGTGTGTGTGTGTGTCATTCTCATTCTCTGTAGATCAATCAGAGTTTTAGACATTAACACCGTTGAATGCCGGCCCAGTGGTCCGATGATTAGGCGTTCGCGCACATAAGACCGAAGGTCCTGGGTTCGAATCCTGCGAGGAGCAGGAGGAGTCGTGGGTGTGCACTGCCATTGATGAGTCCCATACCAGGACGAAACGGCCGTCTTTCAGTGCTCCCAGGTTTCTAATGGTGGTCTAACAATGATTGATTGATTGAATATATTCGTAGGTTACTGGTTTTCGATCATAGGTGTCTTCGAAGCATTGCTCGTATATCGTGGGACACCCTAGTGAGCAACGCTGTTTTCGGGAATCGGGTGCTAGGCAAGAATGTCAGATCAATAGATGAAGTGGTGAAACTTCATCAGTTGATGTGGTTGGGACATGTGTTGCGCGTATGCCCAACCACCGACTGCCTCGTCGAGCTTTGTTTTGTAGTGTAGGAATAGGTTGGAAGAAAGCTACGGGGCGGCCAAACCAAAACATGTCATAAATCCATGAAGTCATTGACGAGTGGACTTAGCCATGTCGGTAATTGTTGACTACCTGGTTGTTGTCCGCGAGATGATAATAATCGATGGTTAGAGACCTTGAACGACATGGCTCAAAATCTTTCGCCATGGCGCCGGTGCATTTATTCTTTGTGTTCTCTCAAATCCTAATCTTCTGGATTCTTCAACACCTCTAGTTTTGACTTTCTAAACTTTTCTCACTGAATCATACTTCTTGAATAGTATCTTCTAACCCTAACCTCTCCGATTACTTCTAATTCCCTTACTACCTCTTCTACTATTGGATTTGAATTGACAATTATATCTGTGTGCTGATGTGGTATGGCAACATGAACTGATGTACTTACGTACCAAGTTCTACGTTGCATCTGACTGACTGACTGAGACTTTGAATGACATGACTGGCAATTGTTTGCAATATCTCCGATGTATTCATTCATTGTGTTCTCTCCCCCCAATTCTAATCTTCTGAATTCCTTATCATCATAACCTTTATCTTTCTCCTCTCAAATCTATTTCACTGGATTATATTTCTTGATTCATATCTTCGGACCGTGTGATCTTTTCAATTACTGCTAATACTTCTACTACATCTACTATGATGTGATTTGAATTGACAATTGCGTCTCTGCGTGCTAATGTAGTGGTATATGGCAACTTGAACATTGATGTACCTATCCAAAAAGTTCTACGTTGTAGCAGCTGACTGACTAACTGATTAAGTTTTAAAAAAAAATCAGTTGACTACTGAAAACTTGACTCATTTTCAAATGCGCGGTCTGTATCACCAGCCTACACATTGTGTAACAATGCATCTAGCTAGTTAGTATTATGTTCGTCACTAAGTATGCTTGAGGCTATTACAAGTTTACCTTAGTTGATAAACGCGATCTAAACAATGATTCAAGGACTATATCCACAATAACAGCAGAACGGTACAACTTCAGACTTTATTTCGACTATTATGAGTAGTTGATAAACACCGAAAATTTGTCAGTCAGTCAGTCACCAACAACATAGAACTTCGTATGTACGTACATCAGCTCACGATGCCATACAACATTAGCACAGTGTTATGTTCGTCAATAAGTATGCTTGAGGCTATTACGAGTTTACCTTAGTCGATAAACGCGAACGAGACAATGAACCAGCGTCCAGGTGGGCTACCATGAATCCCAGCGGAAGTAAAAAAGGCTTTGTAAGCGTAGAAAGTATATTCTACAAACACCCAGCAATCACAGTACAATCAAACATACAACTCTCGTTTATTTATACATCGAAGAAACGTCCTTGAGACAGTTAAGAAAATAGCACACTAAAATAACAAACAGCAGACAATCACAGCCATAGATTTTCCTGGTGGGAAATGAAATCTCAAGGTCAACTGATCAGCCCATACTGGCAAACGTGAAATTCAAAATAAGGCATTTATCAAGCAAGTTTTGGGCATCTAACATCCCCAACAGTTAGCTAGCCATATATCGGTTAGAATAACTGTTTCTTCATCTGACTGTTCATTACAATAATTTTCAATAGATGATTAACAAAGGTGTTTTATCGTAAGGTGCTTTTAATTTCTAAATTTATCATGAGTACGACAACATCATCACTGATTTTGTCTTCGTATCTGTTATGCTCGTCTCTAGGTATGTTTATACTGTTTACGAGTTCACCTTAGTCGAATAACGAGAACAAAACAATGAGTCAGCGTCCTGGTAGGCTACTGTGGTCCCTTGACCATATTGAATCAGTAATAAGTCTTGGTATAGTGTAGAAATTGTATTCTACAAACACCCAGCCAGCACACATTGAATCCAAGCGCTCAAATTACGTTTATTTATACTCGCCATAGAGACGTCCTTGGGACAGTCGCAAAAATAGCGCACTAAGCATTTAAACCCCTTTACCTACATTCTCTATCCATCCAACATATTGTGAGTATATGTGTACTAATATATTGAGCCCATTGGCTTGTCCCAATATTCGGGCAACACAACTAAACCTTCTCTTTTTCCCGGAGTTACTACTATTCACAGGTCTTAAAGTTCAAAATACTTTTTTTTAAAAGACCAATGAAAAAATGGAGATTATTTAAATCATTAGCCACATCATTTTTTTCGAGTTCGAACACGTTTTAAAACAATTTAGGCGGAAATGTGTGTAGTCAGGAAAAAAAATTCAATGATCTCGAAACATTCAAACAGACCACTGATTTGAAATCATCAACCAATCATTGTTAGACCACCATTAGAAACCTGGAAGCACTGGACGGGCGTTCTGTCCTGGTATGGGACACATCAGTACTCATGAGGAAATTCTCGGAGTTCTAGTTGAAAAGACGTGACTAATGTAGAAGTTCAACCCTGTCGAGTGTAGGCAGTAACTACCAAAGACAAATGGGTGAGGTCACGCAAAAGTCCGTAGATCAATCAGAGTTAGACATTAACACCGTTGAGTGCCGGCCAGCACAGTGATCCGATAGTTAGGCGTCCGCACACAATACCGAAGGTCCCGGGTTCGAATCCTGCGAAGTGCAGGAGTCGTGGATATGCACTGCCACTGATGAGTCCCATACCAGGACGAAACGTCCGTCTTTCAGTGCTTCCAGGTTTCTAATGGTGGCAGTCTAACAATGGTTGATTGATGATTTCAAAAGTGTGTAAAAATACACAAACCTCCATAACTCTACCCGAAAAGATCACTGATTGCCATATTATTTGATTAGATTGAACTGAGAAATACATTTGTTTGTCTTTCTAATTGTTCTGTATGTATTGATTAACGATTACAATTAGATATACGATATGAAATTCTATTGAATGCCAGCCAATATCGAGCGAGGGTGTGTGCGATTTGATTGATCAAAGACAATTGTTTTTTCTATATATTTTCAAGAAGAAGATTGATTGTTTGTATAAGTGTGTTGAATGAGAAAATAAAATTTTTTTTGTTAAAGATAATTCGATATGAATTGAAAAAAAATGAAAATAGAAATTTATTACGAACATTTGCGAACATTATGACCTCTTATCTCTCTCTCTATCACAGTCAGAACTCAAATGACCACTATTATGTAATGTGCATAGAAAAACATGTTTAGTTTTGATTGGATAAAATGGTATATAATGTCAAGCTGATGGGGTGTAGCCGGCGCATTAGGGGGGGATTTAGTCAGCCTTGTCCTTGCTGATGAATTCATGGTCAGTCAGTCAGTCATGAAATGACCCAGTTCAAATAAGGGATTAATAAAATGGTGTGGTGTATCAGCGAGATGTGTAATGATTAACAATGTGCAAAACTAATGTTAAATTTTTTCAACGATGTTTATAAAAATATAAAAGTTTATTATGTGTTATGCTTGACAACTGATATGATTGAATGCTATTACGAGTTCACATTAGTCGTTAAACGAGAGTGAAGACAAATGATCCAGTGACACGATAAGCTACTCTAATCTGAGCGTCCCAATATCCTGCTAATGATATCAAAAGTTTTGATATGGCATAGAAAGTGTATTCTACAAGCAGACCAGATAATATGAGGTTGACAAGTACACACAAATAGAGTTTATTTACACATGATAGAAACGTCCTTGGGAGAGCCACAAAGATGGCGCACTAAAATAACACATCAACTAATGACAGTCAAGGATTTTCCTGGTGCGAAATGTAATCCTAAGGTCAATTGATCAGCCCATGCGCTAAAACGTAAAATCCAAAATTAGGACCTTTATCAAATGAGTTCTGGGGATCTAATGTCCCCAACATTACGGAACAGGAAAAGGATGATAAAGTTAGTGTTCAATCTATCGAAATGATATATAGAATGATATCAATGTGGATTTTTGATAGGATTCATCGAATTGGTTAGAAAAAGATACTTATTCACATAACGAAGATATTTGTTCTACCCGATATGCATTAGCTGCAGAATTAATGAACGCTAAGTAATAACAAGCAAGGTTGATAACTGTCACCTTTTCTCTTTCTCCTGGTGATCGACTGGATTATGAAGCCATCAACACCGGGGTCAAAGCAGCGGATACATTGGACAGCTAAGATGCAGCTGGACGATCTAGACTTCGCAGATGATCTGGCTTTTCTGTTGAACACACAACAATAAATTCAAGAGAGGACGACCAGTGTAGCAGCAGTAGGTCACAACATATAAAGGCAAAAGCAAGATTCTCCGATACAATAAGCTCCAACGAAATCTTATTTGATGGAGATGTAAAAACCTTTACATATCTGAGCTGTCTCATTGATGAGCAAAATGGATCTGATACAGATGTGCAGGCGCGGATCG